CTACACGTGCAATGATCACCATCACTGTGTGGTACTGCTATGAGATGCTACTTTAAACTGATGTCGTTTAGATGACAGATCCTTCACTTTATACACTGATACATGTACCTAATATGATGGCCTCCTCCACTACCACCAGGACCACACAGTAACATACTTGTGTTTCAGTTTCAGGAGCGTTAATCCACTTCCCTGCCTTCTTCAGCTTCTTCTCTTCAGGTGGTAGTTTACGTTCCTCATTCCTCTTCTCATGTGCCTCCCGTCTAGCAGTAACCTGTAAGTAACCAGTAGCAGTACCCCCATTGTCGAGACCTTATAAACACCTCAGCCCTAACACGTTTCTCCACAGCAGTTGGATCCTGGACAGCCTCATCACCCAATACCATCATGAGGTTCTTCATGCGGACCTTCGGTGGTGGTGGCGGTATGAGACCCTATGGAAAAGAGAAAATCCAATAACACTAGTTCCACTACCAGAAACTACCATCCTAATCTTATCCTGCATATTAGTAGCCTTCTCCTTCCTCCTTAATCTCCTCAACTTCTTACGTTCAGCCGGTGTTAATGAAGCCATACCCTGCTTACTACACTACAACAAGCTCACCATACAGACATGCTACCTCCTGCTTGTGTGGCTGAGCCGCAGAACGGGCCGGAGGAGGATGCTCAATATAAGATGATATGACCTTACTAGGGCCGCCAGCATCGATTACTATCTGATCCCACCACTCCTGGAAGGGAAACCATGTCCACTACTATCAACAGCATATCCCTAAGCTTACCACTGTCGGCGGGGCCTCTCTGGGATGAATCCTAACTGTGACACCCAAGGAGATCGCTGGTGTAGCAGCTGTTGGGACTCCATCTGCTTTCACCTTCTCTTCCTTCTCAACTACAGCAGCAGGTGGTGACTCTACACCCTCCTGCTTTTGCATCTCTATTTCCTTTTTTGTCCAAGTACCACTCTCGTTCTACATCATGAACCGAATACTAGTATACAACCAGCCACAAACTTACAAAGTTAAACCCCATCCTAGGTTTCCTCACTGCACCAGCAACATGCACTGTTGGATCAAAAAAACGATCACGAGTGGCCCCAGAACGTGTCTTGCCTATAGGTAGAGTAACATGATGCCCAGCTGGGGTGACTACCCTTACCCAGCTTCATCCCACTGGCCACTGTATCCTCAGTCTTGGACTTACTCCTACGCATCATGTCCAAGGCTGCACGATTCCTGAATGGGAAGTTCCAATTCACAAAGGCCTGCAGTAGCTTACTGATTGATCTTCAGCGTTGATATCGCCACTGGGGGCCGTAGCTGGGACATAGGTACCTGATAGCTCATGATGAGTACATTGCAATGAGAAAAGTCAACCACATCGTGCAAAGAGGCTGCTCACCAATTTGCCATCTGCATCGATCTCTCTACCATATTGGTCCAACCTCAAAGCAACTGGAGCCGATACCACACCACCAACAGGTCCTACCAATTACTAATGATCGACAGCCATCATGATCTCCTTGTGAGGAGTCCATCCCGAATAGTACCGCTACTGAAACCCTTCATCTGCATAGCCTCAGCCTGTGCTACTGCTCTAGCTGCTGCCTCTGCAGCGATACGACCGTGCCTGATATTGTAGTCGATTACAGAGCCATCATGACCGTTCATGACGGTCCGCCAAATACCTCAGAGCATTCAACTGCTCACTCTGTAGCTGTAGTGCAGACTTCTGTTGCTGTGCCACAGCCTGATGAACTCTCAAATAAGACACCACAACCAATGTCCCCACTCCTCCCTACCTGTGCTCGTTCCTTAGCCAGTCTAGCAGCAGCAGCTGCTGCGGCAATCTGGGCAGCATCTAGTCTAATGGCAGGAGCCGTACCCCCTGTGAGCACAACCTCAAGAGTGTCTGTGAAGATAGAGCCCTATACCTGGTCCAACAACCATAGCCGAGGGGGCTGTATCGAATCGTGATTTGCGTGGAGCCTTCTTGGTGATACCACCCTCATCGCTAGCAGAATCATGATCCCCATCCCCAGCTGAACATAAACATCATCCCAATGCCCCATCCACCATAACTACCTGGTGCCGCGCCCCATCGAGATCTACGTTTCCGTTTCTCCTTAGTAGGCGGAGCAGCAACGTGATCCTTGCTGCCCTTCCTATCCACCTCCTGCTCTACAACATTATCCACAGACGTCTTGGTCTTGGCTGTGCTCTCAGACATCGAATCACCAATATCTCTAAAGTTGTCACAATAAATTAGCCTATATTGTTCTAGACGAGCCCCCGATGCTCATTATTACTGCTCTGATATATAGAGTACTCGTAACGCAACATGAGAGTACTACCCAACTGAAACGATCCATTCATCTCCCTGATGCCTTCTACTACTACAATTCTAGCAAATCCCTGGCTAAAGATTCTTAACCAAGCTCCCAGTGTGTGAAACTATGAGCCACGAGCAAAGCCATCACCATCAATGGGCAACGTCTTAGGATGCTTTCATACCCACTACACTGAGTTAACCAAAGTCAGGTGTACCACAGACAGTAGTAGTAGTAATAGCAGCAAGACGATCAGGAGTAGTACAAATATAGCAAGTAAATTCCGGATGAGACGACAACAACCACAATGATAATAACGAATATCATCACCACTATAATGGTGTTTCGAGGTGATTCCTTAACGATGATTGACTAAGCTTAGCAGTAGGAAGGAGCAGTGCAGCAGACAAAGAAAGGGGGCAACGAGAGGAATATATCATATACAATAGGGGGAAGCGGTGACAGTAGTTAGGTCATATTTCGAATTCCAAAGCCTCCATTGGCATGATGATGAGCATTTCTATGTAGATACGTATATAGCAGATGAGTATAAGGGAGCAGTGATATAAACGCTCGTGGCCGTCGCACTCAAACGTGATGACAGCAACAGAAAAACTTCGACACCTTCGCCTCCTGTGTACCTCACTGGTTACCTCCAAACTGGAATCCACTAGATGAGGCAGATGTACCAGTAGAGCCAAAGTTAAAGCCTAATAAAGCAGGTTGATATAATAGAGGCTAAAAGCGTCGCAGCTGGTACTACCGCCAGTGGGAGGAGCAGTCGCCGAGTCACTGCCTGATGCTTCCATCTCTTCAACATCATCCTCTCCTTCCAATGGGAAATAGTTCTCAAGGATGCGTACAGCCTACAAGCATGGGGAGTATAGTAAACATCCACTAACAACAATAACCTCACCTTGAGATAAATCTCATCACTACTGTCAGATTGAAGTTCTCAATCTTCGTTAAACCATCGGCCTCCTCTACCAGTTGTAGATATCTACACAATGAGGATCCCATACTCCTATCCTGATCCATAGGTATCCTACGGGTTCTCAGTTAGACTCGGATTCGCCTCCATCGCTTGTAAGCCCACCTATCATCCAACTATACTCTCAC